ATTTCTGATTTAATAATCAGCGAATAATCACCGCACAAATCCCAGCAAAATTAAAAAGAAAATTAATTTCCGCTAGAAAACATTAAAAAAAAATTTTATTTTTATTTTTTATTTACAAAAAGTATACTTTTTAGAGTTTTTTGTATGAATAATTCAGTCCATAAGACAGTTTGACATTAGGTTTGACAAACGAAATTTTTATTTACGCGTATTTACATTCATTTCCAGTATTGACAAGTATTTACACGTATTGACAAGTATTTACACGTATTGACAAGTATTTACGTCTCAACAATATGACTCAATACGATCAATATTTGTAAATATCGTTCAATATTTGTAAATATCGTTCAATATTTGTAAATATCGTTCAATACGGTAAATATCGTTCAATACGGTAAATAGATGTTAATACTCGTGCAATAACCCCAAATAAAAATTCAATAAATTTTGTTCTTTCCCTCTAGCATTCAGTCGACTCACTTCACGAGAATATAAACACTTGTTGATATTTTATTGTTTCTCCGAATTTTTTGTGTGTATTTGGTTGCTGCGATTAATTAAATTAATCATAACCAAGAACGGGCGATGCTTTGATGGCGTGCATGACGTCATCAAATAAGAAGTTGTAACTCACTGGCAGTGAGCGATGGATGTATTTACTAAGACATTCAGTTTACGGAAATTTTGGCGGAAATACAAATGAAAATGTTTTTTAATGAAAAATCTTTTTATTCAAGTTCTTCTAATTAGTTTTTTAGATAATGGTCATTGTTGTATAGAAAATTTTTATATTTTCTATCTTTCAAATATATTCTATGGAAAACGATATGAAAATCTCTTCAAATTTATTTAACCAATTTGGCTTGGTTTAGGAATACTTTGGATATTCGTTATTATTTTTAAAAAAATGGTCTGTCAACTGTCAGTAGTAATATTCATAGATTTACAAAATACTGTTTGCTAAATATAAAGTTTTAATTTGTTGTTGTTATTGAAGTGAACTGGCAAAATTTTCGTTGAGGTGAACTTTTTGAATTTATAGTTCGGATGTGGAGTTCTGTTGCCTTTTCCTGAAAATAAAACAAAATCTTCATCAAACTGAACTAATAAAATTTCATTCTAAATAGACGTATCTCACCAAAAATTTTGTTGGCACATCTCATCACAGACGAATGGCTCCAATGGTATTGGCTTGGTACATTCCACGCAGTACTTGTGATTTTTTGCTTCGTCAATTAAAGATGAATATTGTTGTTTGGTGAGGTCCAGATTCTGTTCGTGTTCGTTGCTCAATTTCCAAATTTTGTTTTCGAGACGAATACATTTGTTGTTCAATTGATTTAATTCCAAGAGATGCGTCTGTTTAATCGTTTTGATTTGTTCCAAAAGATTTTCATTGATATCGCCGTACACCTTTTTTTCAATTTCACGCATTCGCTCCAATTCTTTCAATTCTTCCTCCAGTTTTGCATTCAATCGCATGATATGGCCAATGTTACCATCATTTTGCTCCGAAATGATTTGTTCCACGTTAGAGGTTGGGGTTAGTGTGGCAAGATCAACATTCTCTTCATCAACAACGATGTCAATGGCTGGCTTGATGACTGGGTCGTTCAACTGTGCGGTGACTGAGTCATTCACATCATTCATGATACATTGCTGCGACGGTTCTGCCTCGTTTTCATTGGTCATTTCAGGAGACTGGGTCTGATGATCCAACCAACTATCGTCCGTAATGGTTGATTGGCCCGGTCCTTTTGCTTGGACATCTTCGCTGCCGAGATCTTTTTTCAAACTTGGTGTAACAGTATCGTCACCATTTGGAGCCATATTTATGTCATCGATTTCACGCTTTCCACTGTCTACCTCCTTAATGATTGATGGTCCCGGTGCTTCCGCTTGTACAACTTCAATGATACGAGCTTGTTTCGAACTTGGTGCAACAATATCGTCACTGTTTGATGCCATATTTATGTCATCGATTTTACGCTTTCGACTTTCATCCATAATGACTGATGGACGCGGTGCGTCCACTTGAACATCTTCAGTGGTACGAGCTTTTTTCGTACTTGGTGTAACAGTATCGTCACCATTTGGAGCCATATTTGTGTCATCGATTCTACGCTTTCGACTTTCATTCTTAATGATTGATGGACCCGGTGCTTCCCCTTGTACATCTTCAGCGACACGAACTTTTTTCGAACTTGGTGTAGCAATATCGTCACCGCTTGGAACCAAATTTTTATCATCGATTTTACGCTTAGCGTGGTTCAATCGTTTTGCCTCACGATGGCGAACAATTCCTGGGATGAAATCCACGATGTATTTGTCGATTTTTGTTATATTGAGCAAGGTTTTCGACGTGGCCAAATTGTATGCGCCAAATTTTTGTTTGACATTGTTGAGATACTTTTTGGCTTCCTGTTGATGGATTACCATACCAAATTGTGATTAATACAGTGAAATTTATTTACAAAAATATAAAAGACACTCACCTTTACTGCCAAATTATATGGTACCGAAGTATAACCAGGTTGACCAGGATTTTTTTCAGAGTACAAATAACAATTTCTGTGTGACACTTCAGCATTATCGTGTTTTCCGAAAAACCGTACATAACATATGTCTTTGGCCAAATTTGCATACATCAACTTTCCCGGCCAATACGGATACCCTTTTTTTCAATTAAAATATAATTAAATAAGGCATTTTTTGTATATAATATCATATATACCTTTTACACTCGCCCATACAAGGAGGTGAGCTTCATCACACACCATAGTGAACCAGTCATTGGGATGATTGAGTGCGTTCATGTAGCATTCAGCACAACAAGATTGTACGCTGTGAATTTCCTCGTTGAAAAAATTGACGAGCAGAGCGGCGGCATTGGTTTTTGGGTCTTTTTCTATAATTGAATCAATAAATTCGAGTTTCAAAATACACAGGTAACGGTGGTTTCCCGTTGCCTATTGAAAGGCGATGAATCAAAAGAGAAAAAAAGACACTCACTCGTATACAGAATTCTACAGTTGTGATGAATCCAATGAATATCGGCGAGAAATTCGTCAAAAGTGCGGTATGCCTTGATGTTGTCACTGATTGATGTCAAACTGATTGGATTAACAATGACACCCGTTGAAGCTCCCGGATAGATGCCATCTTTTAGAATATCCTTGATGGATTCGAACTAAAAAGAGAAATAACGGTTTTGCAACAAACAACTTAAAACTGTTGAAAAAAACTTTACCGATTCGTCTTTCCAAACTTGATCGATAATCACTGGCAGCATATCCAATTCGCTTTGGCTGAAAAATGATAAATTATAACAAAAAAGGCAGAATAGAATAGAAATCTAAATAGACGGAGTTTTTCGATTTTTTTGAACATCTAAATTGGGGTTTCTAGGTCCCAAGAACATTAAGCCACTGACAAATTTATTTATTTTCTTGGAAAGAAATGCTCTTAGCTTTGTCTCAAACTTACTTGTCTTTTTGATCAGATTGATGTGCCTTAAAACACATCGAGCAGACCCATTCTCCATCTGCAAACATTTTCTGGTCATCTTTCATACGGGAACATTTGCTATGAAATGAACGTTCACATTTGGAGCATAACACCGATGGTTGCTTTCTACAGCACACCCAACAGTAGTTGTCGTGCTAGAAAAAAAGACGATTTTTGGTTTGAAGTAATGTTGAACTACTTAAAAAAATATCTCGATTGTGATCAAATTGAAATTGTGTCGCCATTCACAACTACCTGTTTTGCCGCCATTTTTGCTGATATTTTATTTCAATTATTATTCACAGTTCCAGTCACTGTTCTATTAAATTTCGATGGAATTGAAAGAATTTGCGACTTTTGAGTGGATTTCGTAAAGATTTATGAAATAATTAATGAAAATATGTAAATTCACGACTTGAGAAAATTATACCGCGCAATAGACTAATACGTCATGTTGGAACAAAGTCCGCAAACTAATATTGACAAGGTTGTGTCGCTTCTTGCTGTAGGAGATGAATGTGGATTAACACATACTTTGACATTTACAATTACGTCAAAAGTTGCGATTGCCTTCGACTGGTCTGAGTGTGTTTAATGCCACAGGGAAGAATGAATGATTTCACATAAATTGAATTTATTTAAAATTAAATTCAACTTAATTCTATGCAATTGAATGAAGATTTAATTTCAGAAAATTGACATAATTTTCAAAGATTTACAGAAAATTGTGTATTTGCACTCTTTAAACCAAATCTTTACCTTCTGCAAAATACGACTGTGGAAATGTCCATAAAATCTAAAAATATAATAAAAGACGGCAATGAAAGACACACATTTTCTTTTCAACATTGAATATTGTTGTTTTCGTTTATTTTAACCAATTTGGTTTGGTTCATGATCATCTTCATGGAATTCAATGTATAATTTCGGAAATCGATTCGATTTTACTATTTCTAATAATAAATGAACGTTTTTGTTGGCAAATTACGATTGTTTAACTTTTACACATGACGATGAAGAAAGGAATATGTTTTAAACATTTCAAACATTGTAATAAATACATTTTAAGCACACTGCGACACTTCATCTCACTTTCAAGCTTATCTCTAAAAAAAAGGGTTGTAGTTGTTTTTGCGATTTTGCCTACTTTCACTCTTCACTGAAGTGAATAAGTTGGCTCTATGGCTGGGACATGGAAATTTCGTGAGACGTGGACGTTTGTTGGTTTTTCCTGCAAATTGAACAAAATCCATATTAAAACCATTTGCTATTTGCATACACCGAGTCGCTTCAATCGAATCTTACCATAAATGTTGTTGACACGCCACATTACATACAAACATATCCAATTTTCTAGGTGATTCGCATACCGCGCAGTATTTGTAGTTTTTAGCGTCTTCAATCAAGCGTCGATATTGTTGTTTGACCTGTTCCATAGCGTGCTGATGATCGCTGTTTAGTTTATCAATTAATTCACGTCGATCATTGTTTAATTTCTCGACATCCTGTTCGAGATTCGTGCATATTTGGACATATCTAGAGATGATCAGAAGAAAAAAATGGAAATTAGTAAATAAGTAATGGAACAAGATGGCAAAAGAATCGAAGGAATGGTTCAGGAATTGTAGAGTACATACTTTTTTCGAAAACGGTTGAATTCCAATCTATGAGCATCATTCGCAATTCGGAGGTCATCCTTCAACTTTAATTCCCATTGTTCTTCCACTTTCTTGGATGATTTTCTTAGCTGCTCTTCGTGTTCCACTTTCATTTGGGCCAATTCGTTCTGGTGTACTACTTTCAATGCTTCTATTTGATTGCTATTGTCGATCTTTGCTTGTTCAATCTGATTGATTAGATTTTTGTTTATCTCTTCATATGCTGCAATTTCAATTTTACGCCGCTCCTCTGATTCTTTCAAATCCTTCTCCAACTTTTCATTCAATTGGACAAGGTGTGCTTTGGAAGCATTTTGCAGCGTGTCTTGTGGCGAGACATTTATTGAGGTTCGCGGTGAAGTCATTTCGGCATCTTCGACGGTTGGCTCGGTATCGTTCACTTGATCATCATTCATAAATTCGTTCATGCCATTTTGTTGCATCGACGGTTCGTGCATTGGATTGTACAAATCATCATTAGTTGAACCATCGTTGAATGAATAATTCATTGTCTCGGTGCTATGATCGCTCAGCTCGGTGGCAGTGTCATTTATCTGATCATTATTGATTGGACCATCAATTGATCTGTCAGATGCACTTGAAATAATGCTTGGCATATCTGGCAACTTGACACCATTTCCACCATCCAATCTCTTTCGTTTTATTACTGGTTCATCGTCGCTTTGATCACTTTCTTGGTCCCTTAACTGATGTTCTTCCCCACTGTCACTCTCTTCCGTTAAATCAACAGTCAATATTTTGCACGGATCCATTCTGGTCGACGACGAGGACGTCTCTCCTTGAGGTTCTACTTTAACATCGATACCAACATTATTATTGCTCGTCGTTGGAACCATCACCGCATTGTGACGACGAAAATTATCGATTGTTGGTATCATTTCTCGAATGTATCGATCAATTTGTGTTGGATCCAACACAGTTTTTAATTGAGCAAACTGGAACGAACCATATTTCTTTTTAATTGCTTCAATGTATGTATCAGCTTGCTGTAATGATGGGAAAATAAATAGAATAAAGAAGCGATGAGATTAGTGTCTAAAATGATAAAAAAATAAAATTCACGTATACTTTTCACTTAGTCCGTTGCAACGGAAAACAAGTTTGCATAGAATGCAGCGCCAACTATATGTGAATTTTATTTTTTATCGTTTTGGGCAATAATTCTATGGTTTTCATATGGCTTCTTTCGATGAAATTGAATGTTCAAAGACGTAGAAGAATCTTCGGCCACTATGCAGGTATAAAAATCATAACAATAATGATACCCTGTGACAGATTAAAGCTTTTTTCTCACCGGACCCCATGTGAAAAATTGTATCGCAGGGTATCTTAATTTTAATTCTCATGCATTTGGGTGCGTATCATGCTCATCGTTGAAGGGGCGATCCTTCGAAGCTATTATAATGGCCGAAAATGTCGTACTACTGAAATAGCCAGAAATTTAAGGGAAAACATGTTTAAATTCTAATTCTAAAGACATGCTCACATTAAGAGCTGTTTTGTATTGAAACTTTGTGGTTCGTGCCTTTCCTGGATTCTCTTCAGAATAGAGGAAAACGTTTTTTGTCGCTACATCCTCTTGTTTATGGTAACCACCAAAGAAGCGCACAGTGACTCGATTCCCGTCGAGGATTAACATTAGTTTGGCCGGCATATATCTGAAGTTTTTCATATAGGCCCAAACTAAAAAAAAAACGATGCGGTTATTTTTTATTAAAAAGCAATAAAATATAAAAAATACCTAAAAGATGCGGTTCGTCACAAAGCATTGTGAACCAATGATGACGATCTATCTGTGAGTGTTTGTAGCATTGGAAGCAACATTGTATGCTTTCAACTTCGGCATTGACATAAGTCAGAAATCGATTGGCCTCTCTGAGCTTATTGTGTCGACCTGAAATTTTCATTTGAAAAATAAAGTAAGAATAATAATAATCAAATTTAACGCCGAACATTTTAACACAAAATACATATGTCAATTTGACACTGGTAGTGCCGCTCTACTCAGTCTAGCCAGTCCTGTTACATTTATAAATCGCGGCTATAGAACGTAAACTGTTTTTTGTACATTTCCGAATAGAGCAATTAGAAATTTCTAAACCTTTCACTTTCAATTTCGGCCAATGCCAATGAGAAATGATAAGTGGCGCTCGATGTCCGCTTTTTGTGAATGTAGCTCGGAGAATCAATTTATTATCCTTTTGTTTAATTTGTATGGCCAAAAAAACAGCATAAGGTCACGGCTCCTGACAAGAACACTATGCTTTTCTGTGGTAATACGCTTACTGAATGGGCCGGTTGCTTCTTGGAGGATTCCATGGTCGGCTTGAAAAAGATTCTCTACATTTGGCAAATGTAAAGAGGAGTTTACTTAAAGAAAGCTCTGATGGAGTTTGTTTTTGTACACAGATCACAGCCAACAAGAATACATGCCCGGCAAGCTGGTGCTTTACAAATGCATTATCATGTTCTCAATTCATAATCATATATACCGCCTGGCAACCGTGCTCTTTGTCAGAAACCAATATACTCTTTTGCTTTTGCACCAACTAAACACATTAATTGATGAAAAAAACTCACCGGGATACAGTATTTGATAGTTATGAACCAACCATTGAATCTCAGAAACGAATTCACCGAAGCTCTTGTATGAATGTACCTTATCCTTGATTTTTTGCAAGTAAATTGGATTTACCAATTTAGAAATACCCGATTTGATGTCATCGCCTGATGACGATATTGCCTGTAAACAAATCAATAGTGACCAAACTATTTTCCAATGAGTATATCATGGAAACTTACCAGATTTTTGCTCCCCTGTTCAACGATGACTGGTATCATGTCCAATTGCTGTCTCCTATTCAAAAACCACAGAGTGAGCATTAAATGACAATTGTACTACTTAAGTAGTATTGTTGTTGGATTCTAACCAAACTTTTTCAACACAGACAAAAAATGTGTGACAACTTACGTTGTGGTCTCTTTGGCTTCTTTCAACTTGAGACAAAGTGGACAAATCCAATCGCCTTCACCGTTTTGGCGGCCTTCGGTGCCAACTTCTTCTTCGATTTCTTTCGTACATTCTACGTGAAAAGATCGGACACAGCAGTCACACTTTAGCATCTTCACAGTCGATGGTTGTTGTGGCAATGCGCATCCCCAACAATATTTATCGCGTTTGGACTAACAAATGGAATTGACAATTGAGTTAGAGAGATTTTATTGTGCGTAAAATGAACATGAAATCTATTGATATAATTTGATGATGAAAAAAATTTCCCGAGAAATACTTTGTACATACCATTGCGCTGATTACTTGGATATATTTTGTTGATAAAATTATCTAATTTGATTTCATACACTTTGCTATATCGTCAAAATATTAAAACAATTCCTTAAAAGAAAGCATGTTTACGATTGAAATGCCACTGTGAAACTGAACTATGAGACTAATGTTGTTGCGCCGCGCAAATATTCAAGAGAGAATGAGAAGGGAGCAAACACACACAAGCGCTGTCATTTATGTTTGGCATGAAGTTGACATCATTCAGATAGAAGAAAAAAGATCGACTAAATTTGGCGGTTCAAATTGAATTTCCTATCAAGAGATGCCAAAAGTTTGGTGTTGAAAATGTTTACGTGATTCTATGCGCTATTTGATCTGTGTCTTTTGAGCAAAAAAGCAACAGAAAACTATAATTAAAGCGATATGAACAGAAAAATCGTTTTTTTTTTTAATAAATTCATTTCATCCAATTTGGAGTTGATTTAAATGACAAATTGATCGATGTTGTAGCTGCAATTTGAAATGCCTGAAATTATTAGAAATAAAAAAATGTTCATTTGAGATTTATTTTTTTAAATTTTTTAATTATTTTATTCAAGTTTCAATTTAAAACATTTTAATAAGAATTGGTTTGGGCATGATATTAATCGAATGATTTATGTGAATTAGCCGATTTAAGGTTTTATTGATACATGCTATTGGTAACACAAATCTAAGAAAGGTATTTATTTAGACTTGGATATATGGATAGAAACATCTCATTCTCGTGAACTAAGTAGCGAAGGAATGCAAGAAAAAGATTCAGTTTCGGTTGTATTATTTAAAAACTGTTGAAGTACATTTATGCCTTTCTTTTAGAATGCTTGAAGAAATACGATTTTTTGTAAAACATTTCATACAGATTTCACAAAGAAAAGGTCTCTCGCCGGTGTGTTGTAGCATATATTGTTTTATGTGGGCCTTCAAAGAAACAGATTTTTTTTACGTCATATATCGACGTGTCTTACAACCTTTTCCGTTTGTATCTTCATCAATCTCCTGATTGAATCCTTTAAAAGTCTTTGACGTGCACCTTCATCTCTTCTTGTATGAGTCCATATATGTGATTTGAGACGTCCTATATTGCAGGTTGTGTACTCACAATGTGAGCACTTTTGGCGCCATCCTTTCTTCTGTTTTGATGACATTTGCGCTGGTCTGATGATATTGGTTCCAGCTCGTTTCTTTTTTTCCTGAGAACGTGGCAGTGAACCTTTGTTCGAACAAGCATTTGGTATTTTGTTCATAGTTTTTGATGATCTAATTGCATCTCGGGTGATTCCGTTTTCGATTCCATGGACACCTGGACGGCCAACGTTTTGGTTATCATTTAAGATGCCGCATGATACATTTCCAATGGTTGGAACCATTTCATCAGGGACATCAACAACCACAATTGGTACGCCGTCATCGATCTCTGGCTGTTCCGCTTTGATGCCATCTTCAACCTTGATGCAAGCTGAACTATCGCCGCGTCCAATAATGGGTCTTTTTGAAACCCGACCTTCATCATCTGAGTCACGAATTTCAATGACTGCACTATGGCTGATTGCTGATTGTTTGGAATTTGCCCCGACACTAGTATCAATAAAATTATTGGATTTTTCAATTGGAAACAGAGCCTTCACCGTGTAAGGTTCTATCATATTTGTTAGCACTTTGTTGACATTTGTAGATGTATTTGTATCTCGCTCATTCATGTGATTTTCCAACATCGATACGAGCTCCAACCGGTCGTAAGTTTCTTTAATCCTAAACAGGTCGTGTTTGAAAAGGATAGAAGATTTTAAGAAAACATATGAGACGAACCAATGAAAAATGTCGCTTACCGTGTATTTGAAGCGTTCAAGAAATGTCTCTTGAATTCCGGGCCAAGTGATAAGCCATTACGTTTAAACGCTGTGTGGATGATGCCAAACGATAGTGTTACTTGATGTTCAATAACAGCAAGCATTTTATTCACTTCGCATTGCCAGGTTGTTGACAAATCCATCTTAATTTATGAAAAGACCACAATATGAGTGTTTGTGCCCAATCACAGGATTTGACAGAATAAACTCAAGGATATCCAAAAAATATTTAGTTGCAATCATGCATAGAAAATTATCTTACCTTGTATAGTTTTTGGAGACTCGCCTGAAAAGAGTTATACTTTGTAGAATTGCCAATTAATTTCCGCAGATAAAACAGTAATCTATTGATTTTCAATAGTGAAACTTGAAAATTGGTAGAGAAAAATTGTGAGCACGTTTTGAGTAGTTCGAGAATATGAAAATGACGTAATACAGAGCGCGTATCAGCAAATATGGCAATCTGACGCTGTTAAAGGATGTTACCAATATTGCAGCAAGATGTCAGTGAAATCAATGCTTTCCACTCTTTGGTGCGAATTCAAACGGTATTTCGCTGTGTTAATCATGATCATGATAAGATGTAGCAGGCGGGATTTTTTGATTACATAAAATCGTTCATAGAAAAATAAAGCAAGGACTACCGCGACATATTTATAGTAAGATATTTTTTTATAATACTTAGAAATAAGTCTTATTTCGTTGCGTGCACGCTACATTGCAAACGCACGACTCTGCTTGCGATGAAAATGAAAATGTTCAAACTTTTTAACTATAACTTTATTAATGAAACTTTTTTATATTTTCTTTTGACATGTATTTACTCAATAGATAAGTAATGTAATGTTTTGAACGACTTGCAACATTGTTGTTTAAAATGATATGTTATTTATTTAAGTTTGATTTAGAATATATGGATCCTACTTTCAAATCTTATAGAATCTAAGCTCCCAAATAAAATTACTTGATTCATTATCACCATCATCATGAAATTGTACAGTGATGTCATTGATGTGCACTTCTGATTGTAATAAACTGCCAATACAACAATCTACAGGTGGATCAAGTTTCATTCTTATTTCGTAATGGAATCCAGGTCGAATGAAAATCGGGTTGCTTACTGAAACGACAGTACAAATATATTCCAAATAGGCATCTCCATTATACAATTCAACTTCTTCATTGGTGCTTCCTGAATGTGCAACTTCAACAATTGTAAATTTGGTTGGTAATTCTTCGTCCATTTCATAATATTTTCCATCACGAAATAGCCGCAAATGGTCACAAATAAATGCATATAGTAATAGTGGTTGATTAACTGAGAATTTCGTTGTTTCGATGTTTTGAAGAAAGTATGGATCAACCGAATCACTCTCCGAAAACTCCCGATTACAAAAAATGTGTTTGTAATGCCAAGGCTCTATTTCACACCGTTTCACCCGTTTTCCATTGAAAATCGTCGCCTTAAAATCTTCATCTAAAATTATTTGAATGATTTCTTGATAATCGTCAGCCGAAAAGGCTTTGCCATACGATGGAACTAATACGCCAAATTCGTTCATTGACATTGCTCCAAATCGAATTTTATACAATAAATCACCAAGATGATCTTGCACCGCTTCTGTTGTCAAAACCTCCTGTTTGCTTGCTGCTTTCACCCACGCCATGCACGCTTCAAACAATTCAACTTCGGAGCATGTTAACCAGTCTAATCCCAAGATCGCAGCCAAAATATTTCGATCGCACGACAAAAAATCAGCCGATTTAAACATTGAGTTTGCTTTGAGTCCGATGATCGTTTCACACGACTTTTTCAATTCGACCTGTTCATAGAGAATCGCCATTCCATATCTGGTGCAAACGTTTGATTCATTGAGTGTATTCTTCAAGAATTTTACACACATGGTCACACATTCATCCATTACGTATTGTTTGGCAAGATTCATGACTGCTCCCACATTTTCTTTGGTCAGAACCACTTCAACCTTGTAGAAAAACTGTAGAAATTCCTTGAATGCAGAAGCTGGTGTATCAACAATTCTGACTTCGTTTTTCTCCTTCCATGATCCGTTGAACATTGCTCGGAATGCATCACAGCCCTTCTGCAATAAGATTTTATGTGCCGGCACTCGTACGTTTGGCTTATTTTTCGACTCGAAAACGAAGTACACGTCGGCCAAATCTGAGCTCAAATACAGCTCTTCTCCGATCGCTGCAAACAATTTGCTGTCATATTTCGGCGCTATTGGTTTGAAATCGGACATGTTGCTGGTATTTTGTTGACGAATCGTTTGTATGTTCACTTAGGAGATAGAAAATTGCTGTTGGGGGAATTAGAGCGGAGATTTATTAGTTTGGAAACAACATGAACATAAAATCATATTCAGTCAAGTATGTTAGTCACACTAACCTCTGCTTACCTTTTAATTTCGATGAGGACTGTAGTTATGTGTAATGTTTTTGATTAAATTCCCCAATCATTAACTGAAAGGAAACAAGGAAATCATAGTTTCAATAGAAAGTTCGTTTGTACGATGGTTGTTGAGATATTTCAACGCAATAATTAGTGGCTGATATCCAATTAGAAATGTTGTACAAACCAGTGTTTCTTTATTTCTGGAGTCCATATTAAAATATTAAAAAAATTATTTTACGACGTGATCACTGATCATTATTGTGTTTAGCAGAGGACAGTTTGAATTATTTTCTCACAAATTTATTTAAAGAACGACGAATGAATCAACAACTTTGTAGTTCAAAGAAAAAGTAGTACTCACCAGGAAAAGTTGTCACTGTGTAAACGAATGTAAATTGTGAAAAGGTTTTCTTCTCGGTAATAATAAGACTGTTCGATTAATGGGCTCAAATTATGAATGTTAATTTACTGCTTTTACTGGAACCAAAAATAGATTAACAATTGAGCGGCATACAAAATGTAGTATGGAGTGGATATGTAGGGTGTAACGCAATGGCAGAAGTTGTATGGTGTAATATTCGCCTTAGACCAATGATATGCACAACCAGAGACGTTGACAGCAAAATTAGTGCGCCATTTTTCGCTCACAATAGGACGGCGAATTGATGAACGCTGTCATTTCTCAATGAAAGTGTTTCGCGCGAGCTTTCAAAAAACAATTGAATTTAAAATTGACAGTCAATGAATTTAAAAAATAGTTATAAATTTGGTTGGAGAAAAGCTTCAACGATTATTTTCAAAAGATTATCATTTTCATCAGAAAATTTACTGAGCATTTGATTACAGACTCTGGATGGCAGCAGCTTATTAAAATAACTTGCTGAGAATGCGTCGTCCGTCGCATGCGAATGTACGTAGCAGTTTATACATCACAGCGAACAAAATTGCATGTTTTGTTCTCTTCACGATTATGTGACTCAAAACATTCAAACGATTGTATAGAGAACAATGCATGTATTGTTGTTCGCTGTGATGTTAAAACTCGCAAAGGACGATGCATTCTCAGCAGCGCAGTATTTGACTAAAAGGATAACAAATTAACATATATTTCCAATGAATTTTATTGAAATTTATAGACAATTCTAGAAAACTGAATGTTTTTGTTGCTGTAATTTAAAAAAATCAAATCTTAATTTAGATTTATTTTTTAATTCAAAAATATTTTATTCAAACTTCAATTGTCAATTCAATAGATTTTAATAAAGAAGAATGGTTTGGGAATTACGTTAAACAAGTGATTTATGTGAACTAGCCGGATTATATTTAAATTTTAATTGATCTATGATATAAGTGACAAAATTCAAAGGTATTTATTTAGACTTGGATTTATGGATAGAAATATCCCGTTCTTGTGGACCAAATAGCCAAGAAATCCAAGAAAAAGTTCCAGTTTCGATTGTCCCATTTAAAAATTGTTGAAGTACATTTATGCCTTTCTTTTAGAGTGCTTGGAGTCCAAATGACGTTTCAAACTCCCTTTTTGTGTAAAAAATTTCATACAGATTTCACAACGAAAATATCTTTTGTCAGTGTGTTGGTGTATGTGATATTGCAAATTACATTTCAAAAGAAAAGATTTTTTTTTACAGATATGACATTCATATCGACGTGTCTTACAAACTTTTTCGTGTGCATCTTCATCAATCTCCTGATAAAATCCGCGGTAACAGTTCGGGCAATGGAATGGAAATTCTTTGGCGTGCACCTTCATGTGTCTTTTAAGCGTACTTCTCTGCCTGAAGCAATTATTACACCGATCACATTGAAACGGCTTCTCACCAGAGTGAGTCCGTATGTGTTTTTCAAGATTTCCGATATAGTAGGTTGTGTAGTCACAATGTGAGCACTTTACGCGCCTTTCTTTCTTTTGATTTAATGACTTTTGTGCTGGTCTGATGCTATTGGTTCCAGCACGTTTCTTTTTTGCTTGAAAACGTGGCAGTGAACCTTTTTTCGAACAAACATTTGGTATTTTGTTCATAATTTTAGATGATCCAATTGCATCTCGGGTGATTCCGTTTTCGATTCCATGGACACCTGGACGGCCAACGTTTGGTGGAACTACTTCATCAGGGACATCAACAACCACAATTGGTTCGCCGTCATCGATCTCTGGCTGTTCCGCTTTGATGTCATCTTCCACCTTAATGCAAGCTGAACTATCGTCGCGTGCAATAATGGGTCTTTTGGCTGCCTGACCTTCATCATCTGAGTCACAAATTTCAATAATAGCACTACGGTTGCATGTCAATTCTTTGCCAATGATTGGGTAAATTGTCGTTTTGTTGGCATTTGACCTTGCATCGATGATTTTAATTGGCCGACTTATTGGTATCGGATCATTCACCGTGTGAACTTCAACCGTTCTTGTTGTCAATTCGCGAATGTTTGTTGATGTTGGCATATTTATGTTTGCCCATACATTCACTTGATCTTCCATCATTAGCGCAAGCTCGAATTGATCGTAAGATTCTTCAATCCTAAAAAAATTTGGTTTAAAATTAGTGGACTTTTTATACTGGATTGAACATTCAAAAGGTACATACCGTGTATTTGAAGCCTTCAAGAAATATTGTTTGAATTTTGGGCTCAACGATAAGCCATTACGCTGGAATGCCACTCTGATGATGCCCAACGACTGTGTTACTTGACGATCAAAAGCAACAAGCATTTTGTTCATTTCAGATTTCCATGTGATTGTCAAATCCATCTTAATTTCAAGAGATACCATAATTTGTTTAATTGATAAGAATTTTCTTGGGAATAAAATTGTTATTCCTATTGTTTGAAAAAAACCTTACCTTAAGTACTTTCTGAAGAATTGAAATTAAATGGATAATGGAACGAATGTGAGACCACGTGTGAGAATAAGAAGATGACACAATGGCAAACATGAATAAGCAAATATGCCAATGCTGAAGCTGTCAAATTATGTTCACAATATTAAAACAAGATGTCAGTGTAGTTGATGCATTATTGCTTTTGATGCGAATTCAGAGTGATTTTCTCGCTAGGCGAATAAATTGCAATGGGAAATAAACAGAAAAAACTTAAATAAGATCGTTTCTAGACAAAAATACACTAAATACAATAAACGGAAAGTTTGGCCCTTTATTTATCAATTTTATAAACTAAAATACAAATCGCTTGGAATCCAAAGTTAACAACACTTGTTGAGCATTAAACCTTATAGAAATCAAGGTCCCAAATCAAATTTCTCGGTACAATATCACCAGTCGGGTCATCATGAAATTGTACAGTGGTATCATTGATCGCCATGTGCACTTCTGATTTTACTAAACCGCCAATGCAACAACCTTCAGGTGGATCAAGTTTCATTCTTATTTCGTAATGGAATCCAGGTCGAATGAAAATTGGGTTGCGTAACAAAACTTCATTCGTACCAATATATTCCAAATTAGCTTCTCCATTATACAATTCAACTTCTTCATTGGTGCTTCCTGAATGTGCAACTTCAACAATTGTAAATTTGGTTGGTAATTCTTCGTCCATTTCATAATATTTTCCATCACGAAATAGCCGCAAATGGTCACAAATAAATGCATATAGTAATAGTGATTGATTAACTGAGAATTTCGTTGTTTTGTTTTGAAGAAAGTATGGTTCAACCGAATCACTATCCGGAAACGCCCGATTACAAAAAATGTGTTTGTAATGCCAAGGCTCTATTTCACACCGTTTCACCCGTTTTCCATTGAAAATCGTCGCCTTAAAATCTTCATCTAAAATTATTTGAATGATTTCTTGATAATCGTCAGCCGAAAAGGCTTTGCCATACGATGGAACTAATACGCCAAATTCGTTCATTGACATTGCTCCAAATCGAATTTTATACAATAAATCACCAAGATGATCTTGCACCGCTTCTGTTGTCAAAACCTCCTGTTTGCTTGCTGCTTTCACCCACGCCATGCACGCTTCAAACAATTCAACTTCGGAGCATGTTAACCAGTCTAATCCTAAGATCGCAGCCAAAACATTTCGATCACACGACAAAAAATCAGCCGATTTAAACATTGAGTTTGCTTTGAGTCCGATGATCGTTTCACATGTCTTTTTCAATTCGACCTGTTCATAGAGAATCGCCATTCCGTATCTGGTGCAAACGTTTGATTCATTGAGTGTATTCTTCAAGAATTTTACACACATGGTCACACATTCATCCATTACGTATTGTTTGGCAAGATTCATGACTGCTCCTACATTTTCTTTGGTCAGAACCACTTCAACCTTGTAGAAAAACTGTAGAAATTCCTTGAAGGCAGAAGCTGATGTATCAACAATACTGACTTCGTTTTTCCCCTTCCATGATCCGTTGAACATTGCTCGGAATGCATCACAGCCCTTCTGCAATAAGATTTTATGTGCCGGAACTCGTACGTTTGGCTTATTTTTCGACTCGAAAACGAAGTACACGTCGGCCAAATCTGAGCTCAAATACAGCTCTTCTCCGATCGCTGCAAACAATTTGCTGTCATATTTCGGCGCTATTGGTTTGATATCGGACATGTTGCTGGTATTTTGTTGACGAATCGTTTGTATGTTCATTCAGGAGATAGAAAATTGCTGTTGGGGGAATCAGAGCGGAATTTTATTAGTTTGGAAACAACATGAACATAAAAACATATTCAGTCAAGGATGTTAGTCACACTAACCTCTGCTTACCTTTGAATTTCAATGAGGACTGTAGTTATGTGTAATGTTTGTGATTAAATTCCCCCATCATCAACTGAAAGGAAACAAGGAAATCATAGTTTCAATAGAAAGTTCGTTTGTATATACAATGGTTGTTGAGATATTTCAACGCAATAATTAGTGGCTGATATCCAATTAGAAATGTTGTACGAACCAGTGTTTCTTTATTTCTGGAGTCCATATTAAAATATTAAACAAATTATTATTCGACGTGATCACTGATCATTATTGTGTTTAGCTGGAAAAGTTGTCACTGTGTGTGTATCAACGAATGTAAATTGTGGAAAGGTTTTCTTCTCGGTAATAATAAGACTGTTTGATTAATTGGCTCAAATTATGAATGTTAATTTACTGCTTTTACTGGAACTAAAAATAGATTAACAACTGAGCGGTATATAAAATGTAGTATGGTGTCAGAGATGATGACAGCTAAACCAGTTCGCCATTTTTCGCTCACAATAGGACGGCGAATTGATGAGCTCAGCCAATTTTCAATGAATTTGTTTTGCACGAGATTTCGAAAAATAAAAAAATTGAAAAAAATACTCATGTAGTACTTGAAAAATTATAATCATAAATTTGTTTTGCTTTAATTGAAAGAGGAGTTTTAACGATTATTCGATTATTCCATTTTAAAATCATGTTGAAGTAACAAAAATGCATTTGGAAGAACATTAATTTGGAAACTATTTATCCCTAATATGATTTATATATATATTTTTTTTTTTCATTTTCGTTAAACTATAACAATCCAGAGTCAATGGAAATTTAAAAAAATAATTTGTAGTTTATATTTCTTATTTTCTTCCAATTAAAACAAGTCCGACATTTGCTGGTATTGTAACTTTTCGAGTGTTAACATAGCCTCTGCAAGAATGGAATAGAAATATGTTAAATATGATTGAATGACTAATTTTTTTTACCATGATTAGAAATTCAAATTACTCTTTTCCAAATTGGATTGAAGAAATTGCGATTTTCATTTGTTTTGGTAATCTACCAAGAGAGGCGTTTGCATCAATAGTTTCTCTTGTTTGGCCCAAATTCAAAATAACAACAATGACATCGACATCAACATTTTCGATTTCTCGTTTATATGCCAGCACATTGCAGTTAATTGCTTCAATTTTGAGTTCACCATATTTCATCGTGGGGTGTTTACGTAAATCCATTAATTTTTGAAACACCTTTAAATGACTTCGTTTTCCCGATTTTTGAGACTCCACATTGAAAGTCATGTAGTATTTAGAGACTGAAAGAAACCATGAATAATTTTAACACATTCATTTACTTTCGAATATTTCAAAGGAGCTTTGGTTTGATTTACGAAAAATGGTGATAATTAGAACCGTTATTGGCACCGAAGAAATGCACGAACTAGTAAGTGTCCGAACTTATTTTACATAATTTTCCATGCACCATTCCTGAATGCAAGAAAAAGCATCTCTCACAAGAAAAGCGGCAATACATGCTCGCATTTCAACGGTGTCCATAACAGATCTGGAGAAAATCACGATTCTATTTTACCTGGAAGCCACGGTTTTCGAGCTTTAGTGAACCCAGCATTTACACTACGATTCCATTGCATTGGTGTTCGAAATGAATCTCTAGTGAATATGGAGCCATCCAAATTTAAATTCAGTTTATCAATAACATATTTCGGCGGAATCTTCACGTCAACCATCGAAATCTCCTCACCCTATGAAATTCGTCGTTAAATATTCACATCAGTTTTCTTATTATCAATGAGACATACATACGTAATATGTTATGGTGATGCCGGGCAAAGTTTTTATCAATATGTTGAAAATATCGCTTCGTGTTGCTCCATATTTCGAAGACAGTCGGTTGTTGTCATGATTTCCGAGCTGAAAGAGTAATAAATTTCGAATTAAAACTTCCATTTAATGAGAGAAATGTGGCCAGAGCACTCACGACCCAATTTGGACGAATTTTCTCCCCTTTTGGCATGTGATTGATCCATTCTTCAATACAAACTTTAAAGTCCACCGCCGTTGAGTACCTAGTTGTTTTCGTCAAAAGCCTAAAGTTAAACGGAACTTCGGCTCCAATTCTACGTATTACACCATTTCGCACATTTGCATAATATTTCAGCTGATTTTCCAGTGACACATACGCTTCAGTCATCAAAATGCTAAAAATAGTCATTGTTACTTTTGTACAAACAAAGTGGAACAAGAGAAGATTGAACTTACGGTTTCAAATTGGAAAATTCGTCTTCCTTTATCACTTCATGAAAATGGCAAACTAAGTCGTACGATTCTTTCAAACTCATTGTGTATATGTGAGATAACCCAGTATGATGATTTGGATTATTTAAGAATTGTCCACCGTACATGGGCTCATCATCATAGAGTCCGTCCGCATTTTCGCGTCCTTCGAATAAATAGGCGACAGCGTCGACTCGAAATCCAGCTGAGTTGGTGAAAAAGTGTGTGATATTTTAATTAGGACAAAAGAAGAAAATTCATGTAGACTTTACCTACTCCTTTCCGTAACCAAAATCGAATGATTTCGTCCATTTCATTTGTGACTTCAGAATTTCGAAAGTTCAAATCAGGTTGTTCGCATGCAAATTGATGCAAATAAAAAGATTGTCGGCTGTCGACCCATTTCCAAGCACTGCCACCAAATACACTGAATCAATAATTAAAAAAAAAACAGAATTAATCGGGTTACGTAGAAGAAGACGCAAATGTAAAAAATTATACCTGCGCCAATTGCTTGGTGGAACCCTTGTGCCATTCGCTAATTTTCTCCCGTCATTCCAAATATAGTAATCTTTATATTTATGATATTCTGGATGTTTTGGATTCGAGGATTTCTTAAACCATTCGTGTTGATCGGAAGAGTGATTTGGCACCAAATCCAAAAGCAATTTAATGTCTAATTCCTTGCATTGTGCAATCAATCGCTCGAAATCGTCCATTGTTCCATAATCGGGATGAATGCTTCGATAATCAGAGATATCGTAACCGAAATCTTTCAAAGGACTTTGAAAAATGGGAGACAACCATACACCGTCTACGCTTATATCTTTGAGGTGATTTAGTCTAGATGTGATTCCGTTTATGTCTCCAATTCCATTGCCATCACTGTCTTGGAAGGATCGCGTATAAATTTGATTCAAGTGTGCATGCTCCCACCATTGGTCATCCACTAAGATTTTTTCAATAAAATATTTAAACTGAATTAAAACAACTGTATTGCCATGCAAAACGCCGTTTGAAACTTTGTTAGAAATACGCAATTTCAACTCAATTCATTAACTGCGAACAACCTTTGTGAAATGACGCAACAATTTTATTTCAAATAATATTTTGTTTTCACAGCTGTTTCACATCTTTTTCATTGTTGCAAACAAAACCATCAAATAATATTTTGAATATTTGATACTTGTAATGAAAGCACTGAGTGAGTAATAAAAGTTTCCCAACATTTTCTAATTTCAAAAAAGTATTTGGTTGAAGCGGAGAACAATGATTTGATAAGTGTCATTTGGATGGTGTATGTCCAACAAAAATGCAATCCAGACTCGGGATTTCAGAGCTATCATTGGCACCGGAGAAGTGCGGGCACTCACCAGTGACGCGACCGAATACAAGAAAGAGCGCCACATATAAGAAATGTGTCTGCACCTCCGGAGTCCGATGTAATCAATCAACGGTTTGAAGTGAAGAAAGACAATTTAATTTCAATTTGATATAAAAGTGAATTACCTCTGACTCCTTTACACCACAACACCTTTTTTGGAAGAAAAAAGTCATTAAATTTTTACTTGCCACATTTCTAAAAGGTATTTTATTTTATCTTTGTAAACCACAAATGCTTACTCACGTGTAGAAGGAAAATAAAGATTCGATAAAAAGACCACATTGTGTGTGAAAATACATGAATATCGTATGAAAATACTGTTCATACGAAAACACATGAAATGTGGTTTTGAGGCTTCTGACTCAATAATTTCACGGATTGATTACGTAATTCACGGCATACCAATAAAACTGCGTCTTTATTCACATGTGATAACTGGGGGGATTTGATCTTTGCCATATCAAAATTTAAACCAAATCAATTACCTTTTGAAAACTTGTTAATCGCGGTACATACATTTTTTTATTGCAGTAAGTACCTCAAAACTGTCATGGCAATCAATTTATGCAATATGAAATTATAAAAAAATTAATATACAAAATTAACGATGTGCCGTGAATTTTTATGGAGGGTTCTGCGAAAACCTCCCCATTTGTCACCCCAACGAAAACATTTTATCAAGGAATTCTTTTAAAAAATGTATCTGAAGTAAGCGATAGATATTTGCTGCCTTTAACAATTTTAATCATCTAGTTTTTTCGATCAACTGAAAATGTGTTTTGATGAAATAAAGACGTGTGACAGACAAACGTTTCAAACATTGCGAATAAAAACGCAGTTTACAAGCAAATGATGATGATTGCTATAACCAATTCCATGAATAAATATTTGAATGTGGTATAGTAACCACCAATGGAGCTCTCCTAATAGAGTACGTGATAGTTGTTTTATTGCAAGGTTAAAATTGTCTTTCTAGGGGGAAAGAACAAGCCAAAAAGCAAAAAAAATACGATTCAATACACAAAATAAATGTCAATACGTGTAAATACGTGTAAATACGTGTAAATACGTGTTAATACTTGTCAATACTGGAAATGAATGTAAATACCGGTAAATACGCGTAAATAAAAATTTCGTCAATCGCTAATGTCAAACTGTCTTATCGACTGAATTATTCATGCAAAAAACTCTAAAAAGTATACTTTTTGTAAATAAGAAATAAAAATAAAGAAGCGATAAGAAAAGCATAGTTTATTTGCCCTTGCGTTCACATATAGATGGCGCCACAACATATGTGCGTAATTTTGATGGGTTTAAAATTCCATTCAAATAATATGCCGTTGCAACGGACAAAATATTTGTAAATATGCAAATGTTGAAAATGTACTTTTAGGCAGTAATTTTTAAATGAATTAATAAAACCGTCGTCGCAAATAAATATTGAAATCTATTTATAAGAAAAATATATGAAAATGAATCAAATAACATGGAGACTTTTACACCAAATATACCAACCACTTAACGATCCTGCCTTTTTTTGTAAAACTACTCGAAACGCATTAAAATGATCTGATGCGAATTCTTTTCTAAAAAAAATGTGCAGGAATGCAAGTAAATATATTGCATATAAAGAAAGCTAATAACAATTTGTGCTGAATATGTAATGTATTGAAAAAATCGCTGGTTTATGTTAGATTAAAGAAAGAGCGTATTTTATTTGTATTTTTTTGCTATTGAATTACTGTTTTCAAAGCTTTGATTACATAGTTTTTACTGCTTTATTAAATAAAAAACGGTATCTTTTTTAAACTCTTGACGATTCATCCATTTTTGAATGGTTCACAAGATCAATTTGCAGTTGGGGCAAAACCACGAACTTCGGGGTGCTATAACCATTTTCAAGCAATTCATGTGGAACCATTGAATTTGACAATGCCGGCCTTCGCACATGATCATCGGAGTATGGTCGTCCGGTTGACGACAAACGCACCATTTTTTGCGAATATCAACTACATTTTCTGTGGAAATTCAAAACAAACGATAAAAAATATGTAGGATTTATTGTAAATAAAAACGTACGTTGCTCATTTGATGTTGGAAGTGATGCACTTAGCAATCGAATTGAACGCCGTGATCTAGTGCCTTCTGTGTGTCGACGGTTACGAATTCGCGCTGGTAATTGTTGCGAACGATTTTCAATTCCGAGCGAACTGAGTAAGCGGGAAATTGAGCGTGTGCCTATAGGAATATTAAAAGTTCAATTTAACATCTTTAATCTCACAAAGAAAAAACATCATATTGTATATATATTTACAGCGAATCGTATTGATGTTTGTCAACGAAAATGTACGGGGCACCTTGGCTGCAGCCATTTTTTTTAACATTGCTCGCGTCACTATAGTGGTTTTACAAAACCAAAATTCAAATAAAATAAAGAAATAACAATTTTTTAATTGTATAAATATATTGAAAGCAACTAAATATAGAAAATAGATAAAAAAACACGACGTACCAGGAGCCATTTTTTTTTTTTTTTTGAATTTATCTGTCTTCACGTAAGGCTCTGTAGGATATCTATGAATACACAAACCCACAGTTGTTGACAGTCGCTGTCAAAAGCTGAGCTTTGCTGGCGAGTTGCTAATAGTAGCGACGCCAACACTAATACCTCTGCGCTGATGGTGGAAGTACGATTTTCAAAGTGAGATCAAGTTTTTATAATTCATCAAGTTGTGAGCAAGGCTTTAAACACAATCAATTCAAAAAAAAGTTGAAAAAATGGTGAGCTTTATTTTATATTTAATGTTCAAGAAAATCGATGAGAAAATCTTGTTTTTGTTTTCAACATAAGTGTCGAATTAAATTAAAGTTTTGAGTAATCAAATTGAATCATATTTATAGACACCGTACCGCCCAGATATATTTTGGATTCTGGACTCTGTTTGTGGACGTCGAGAATACATAAAAAAGGGTACACTGGGGCAACTTATTGGCATAAATTCAGCTATGTCTTTCCGGAAATATAAGGTCGCTGCAGAAAATCCAATAACTGGGCAAGCCGAGATGTTTGACAACAAATTGAATGAATGGGTACCTTGGGATCCATCACGTGTACCGACCACATACTCAATGGTTCCAATTCCAAGAAATGTGACCGAAGAACTGGATTTATTCATTCGAAGCGCCCCACTCGTAAATCATGTTTACATTTGGTCACCAGAAAAAGGCAAATTACCCCGCGATTTATTCGCAAAATTGAAAAGTACTGTAAATCAAACGATGATTGGACGATTCACAGCGGATCCAGAGATGCCAACCGTACATGAGCTCGGCAAAACCATGACACGAGTAATTAAGGATTTCATTGAACAAGACCAAGAAGATTTTATTCAATTTATTTAAAGTAATTCCAACTCATTGAAATAAACATTGCTCTCAAAGTGCTACGAAAAAATGGTTTTTGAATAAAAAAATATTTCGAACATATTGGTGGAATTTTATTTACTTTATTGTTTAAATATCATTGATTCGGACAAAAAGTATTTCATGAATGAACTATAAATAAAAATAATTGAATACTTGATGATTTCCAATGAAATTATTCAGTATTTTTATCATAAATATTATCAAATTCGAATGCGATGAGTTCCATGCCCGTGTTTTTGTTGATGCTTGAACAATGCGCTCGACGACTTATATTTTTTTCCGCAAGTACAAACGAACAATTTTTCATCACTATGGCTGAGCTTGTGGTTTTTCAAATGATCAGATCGACGAAACGATTTGCTACATTGATCGCATTTATATTTTCGAATATTTAAATGAATTTTTCGATGTTGCCAGCGTACTTGACGTGATTTGAATTTCATTCCGCAAAATTCACAGCCGTATTTTTTGTTGGGGTTTTCCACTTGATTTGAGTCTGTTTTTACGGCATTTTCTTTTCCATCAAATGGATTTGTTTCGTTTTCTTCTTTGAAATATAACTCTGCCATGACATCTATTTCTTTGACATTGAAATCATTTTCAAAATCGAATTTTGCACTGAATAGGTGCACAATAGCGGGATCTTTGTGAATCTATAATATTCATTAGGCATTTATATTTATTTATCAAAGGTAAATGGTTTTTATCTCAATTACCTACCATTTTGACGATGGACGCTTGAAATTTCGATGAATTTTGTACTCTGAACGACAAGAGTTGGGCACCCGTGAGCTTAAGCGTGTGAACCCAGAGATTGCTTTTGAAATATTACACAGCCTTACGCATAGAATTGACAATTAGTGACAGTTATGTAAACTTCGAAAGTGGCGCCGGATATTCGTACATTTTTACGGTTGTGTTAATGATATAATATATCAAGGAATGCTGGATCCGTTTTCGTAAATTCATTTTTTATTTTTGGTTTTTGCGCAACAATAATAGAATATAATAATGATAAAATTAGTCTGGTATAAATTCTTATTCTGAGTCATCATCTGATAAAGTTGGGTCTACTATGTAATCAAAAAAATTATTAAGATTTGAAGAGGGCAATATTTCAGGTGTGAAGTTGGTATGGTCAATGCAAAAAGTGTACCAAATTATTGTTGTGACGTGACTGCAGCAACCAATAGTTCTTGCTCCATTTTTACACGAACAATAATATGCTTTTATGATTTGGTGTCCCCTTGCATTCAAATCAACAAGTACATAAGTTTTATGTTTTTTCGATGATACAAATCGTGACTTGAAATGAACCAACAGTAACAGTGGTTTTGAATTTGATATTAGAAAACGTCCGCAGTACTTTTGGCACACATCAGCTGGACAAACTTTCACAACAAACTTATTCTCGTTATCTTTTAAATGAGACTGGCAGTAGCTGGGCGACTGAACTATTTGATAGGTTCCTTGTGTAATTGCCTTTAAATCTTCATATGTTAATTTCGGGAATAAAGACAAATTATTTACGGAAGCAAATGATGCCTGTGGTATTCGCTGCACTATATTTAATAAATCATTTTTCACGTCTCGTTTCTCTAACATATTATTGCCAACCAGTTCCCAGTCATCTTTATCACTTCGAATGCTAGGGCTAAACGCATTTAAAAAAGCTGCACATATTTGATAGTCTTGCATCAAGTATGGCATGGATTCGATATTTTTGACACCATTTAAATGCTTCCATTTACTTGTAATATGGCCATTTCTAACTTCAACTATAAATCTAGTTTTGGTAACGATTCGAGATTTGTTGGCTTGTTTTGTCGTCAACTGGGTTTTTCCCTCACCAATATTCTCAGGAATTGCAACATCAAAATTACTTCTTTTGAGCGTATTTAC